TCTCTCATCTCCCTTTTTCTCTCCTTTTTTTTTTTTTGCTCTTCTTTTTTCTTTTTATTTTCTTTCTCCCTTCGAATCACCCCCTTCCCAACCCCCGCCACACTACCACAAGTAACAGCAGTAGCAGCAGTACAACTAACGCTACCCACCACTACCATTACCATTCCCTTCACCATCCCCCAACCCTTACCCTTTTTTCTCTCGTTCTTTCTCCCGTATCATTTTCGTTTCTTTTTTTGGGCTTCTTTCTTTTTTCTTTTTCTTTTCTTCCCCTTCTCGAAAACAAAACGACGTTGCTTTCCACGATCCAGGAACGCGATTCCAAACGTTTCCCCATTTTGTGTTTTTATTTTCTTATCATTTTTCTCAACTCCTCTTCTCTTCTTATAGGCCCGGTTTTCTTCAAGGCTTTCTCTCTTTTTATTATTTTTTTCTCGCAAACGCGTACACTCCTCCCCCTCGTTTATATCTGGCCTTCTTCTTTTAACATAGGTATCCTTTTTCTTTTTCTTTTGTTTTGTGTATTTTATTTGTTTGTTTTAATAACAAGTGGACGCGAATAATTCGTTCATATTCTTGCATATACCTTGGATAGATAACATTACGAGCATTAGATGATTATTCTTATGTGCAAGGATTTTATTTTCAAGAGGAGAATGAATGCAAGGGATGAGTGGTGTAAGGTGATGAAAGAATACGATTAAAATGGGGGCAAGGGGGAAACATTTTTCTTTTATTTTCTTTTCTTTTCTTTCCCGGTTGGACTCGTTTAATCGCGTCAACTTAAACGCGACCACTTGTATTATCTTGTATACATATATATATGTATAAGTTTTACATGTACGTGAGAGTTAAGAATAAAATGATGTTGTATGTTAGTAGTAGTATCATATCATATCCCAGCTTCCTCGAGAAACTCTATCGAGATCTCAAGATTTCCAAGGAAAGTTCTCTTCTACGCGTAAAATCATTTTTATTTTCTAACAAAGAGAAAATAAAGTTGCTGTTGTTTTTTTTTTTTTAAGACGTTCAAAATAATTGTCTCTCCTTGTCGGTAGAGTCTTTCTTTTTCTTTCTTTTCTTGTTTGTCATTACCATAACCCCATGTTCGTTTTAACAGTGAAGATATAGGAGGTGGACTACGCGGGGTCAGAATATTATTCTTGTTCTGTTGTTAAGTTGAAAGAAGATTTTCTCCAGTAAAGAAGAGCTTTTTGTTGGTTGCCACCCGACGAGTAGGTGTAGGTATACGACGAGTATCTCTCTTTCTCTCTTTTTCTCTCTCTCTCACAGACTACTGGGGCCGTGCCTCGTGCAGTGAGATTCCCATTTATCAGGGTACATCCGCCGGAAGTGGGGCGGCCCGTGCGTAGGTGAGAGACGAACAGAAAGAAAGAAAGAGACGAACAGAATGCTAAAGAACGAAACGAAACAAACCTACACTCCTTTACCGTGTTCCTTTTTATAGAAATAAAGAGAATACGAAATAAAATATATAAATGTGTGTGTTAGTGTGTGTGTCAGAACATGGAAAGAGAAATAGATTATTTACTTGTAATCAAAATCTACTTGTATAAGTGTTTTAACACCCAACTCTATGCAGAATTAGATTTCTCTTCGAATTTCAAATCGAAGGAGACCGAGGAGAACTCGGGAGGAAGAGGAAGAGAAGAAGGAGAAGGAAGAGAAACGGGGTGGGCAGGATTTAAAGCATTCAGCAACAGGTTGAAACGATCGGATGGTAACTGGTGGTGGTGGTGGTGGTGCTATTCGGGTGGAAACTCGCTATAATTGTCATTTCCAAGCCGGGCTGCGATCGATCATCGCAAACTTTTCCCTCGAGGACGATTCAAATAGTTGAATAGCGAGTCGCCATGTTTTTTTTTTGGTCTCCCTTTCTCTTTCTATAGTTAGAACACAAATTTGAACGATTCATCGATCGTTTCAATCGATAAATTAATTCTCTACTCATCTAGATATCTGATTTATTTTTCCCTTTGAATGAAATTAAAAAAAAACAAAACACGTTCGATTCTATATATTTTATTAATATCTCTTGTTAATTTGAATTCAAAAGTGAGGTTAGAGTTTTATTCCGGCCCTAACTTCAGTTGAATTCAAAAGTTAGGTTAGTTTCATTCTCTTCCTAACTTCAGTTGAATTCAAAAGTGAGGTTAGTTTCATTCCCGTTACTTATACAAGAAAAAGAAGAAGAAGAACTTATATTATTAGAATATACTTGTTTTTTTCTTTTCGATAGTTGCCTTAATAATCGGACGTGGAAAAAAAATATCGAGATATCTATTTCACGATTGTCAATAAATTCCAACGATTATTAAAACAGATTTACCTCTGCGTCTGGGTTTTATCTTCCACGACGTTAGATATATAATGCAATCGAGAAATTGAAATATTCTCGTACGATTATTTCTCTCTTTCTCTTTATTTAGTTGAGAAATAATGAAATATTCTGAAGAGAAGACAATTACTTTGAAAAATAATTTCTAAACTAAAAAATACGTTCACTTTCTTTCATCATTATCATTCTCATTCACATTTTCGTTCAATACGAAACTTAACCATTCGATACCTAATCCAACACATTTAAAAAGAAACAAACGAACATGTATCTTAATATACATACGAATGAGCTTTTAGCCAATTTCATAACGAACAATATATTTTCTTTTCTTTTCTTATGAAAAAATGAATAATGTACATTTTATGCGGTTTTCCCAGCGCATTTGTTTTACAAATTACCGGACGCCGGTCGTTTGACCATGCACACCACACGGTATAAATAGGTTTAACGTTTAACGTCTAAATTATTTGAAATAATTTACAATATTATCATATTGTTTAAAACAATTAATCAATCTATCATAATTCTTAAGTATTTCCTCTCTTTCTCTCTCTCGTATTACTTCTAATAATTATTCATACTCTCCTTCAAGTACGTTACAGTCTTCCTTACCTTTTTGTGGTCGCATATACACGTTTCTACAATAAATGATATCAACCTCTTTCCCTCTCTCTCTCTCTCTTTCTCTCTCTCCCTCTCAATTCTTTCATCCTCGTGTATATTCGTGTCCAGAGAGACTCGTCGGAATTTCTTGGTTACGTCAGCAGCCATACTTTTTACGTATTGAGGAGGGAAAGAGAGACCTGAGAGAGTAAGAAACAAAAAAAACACACAAAAAAAAATAAAAGTCGGACAGACAGAGAAAGATAGACAGACACACACACACACACAGACACACACACACACAGACATATAACGTATAAACGTAAGTATGTAGTAGGTAATATACATGTATCTGGAAATGGGCGTTAAAGTCAGAAGACCGTGGTGTGGTGGTGATGATGTGTGTTGGTGCTTCTTGTTTCTTTGCGTATGTATATGCGTTTGTATGCGTGTGTATGTGTACGAGAAATCTTTCTGGACCCCGACACGAAGTTTTGCCCGGTCGGTATCAATTGGCCGTGCTGTGCTCTCTGCGTTATATACCGGTCGACCTTCTAAAGTTGCAACATGAGACCTGACACAGATAGGAGAGGCTGCTGTGTTGCTGTTGTTGGCTGTTGGTTGTTGGTTGCTGTTGCCGTTATTGCTATTGCTACCTTCGTTGTCGTCCTCGTTGTGTTTCCTCCACTCTCACCAATAAACTTCTTTATATATTTATATATATGTGTGTGTGTGTGTTGTACGAGTGACTTACGAAACTTACGTGAGATACTCGGTGAGATCGTTTAACCGGTCGAACTCCGTTTGCTTTATAGATCGATTAAATCCCACTTTGTCGGTCAATCCGTTATCCTCTTCGATCTCATTTCACTTCTTTTCTTTTTTTTTATTTTAATTTATATTTTGTCATTGATAATTTTCTTTTATTTCGTTTTATTGTTATTTTTTTAATTACATATTGTATATACTATAAAATCGGATGCCTTCATGCCAAATACTTAAATAGGTATTCATGAAAGATTGATAGGTGGTCATTGGATAGCTCAATGAGTTAAGTAACCGTCTGAAAAGCTAAAGATCCTGGGTTCAAATCCCCGGTGGTACAGTTACTCCAACGGGTCGAATTTTTTCACGTATCTCACGATACTATAATTAAAGTATGATATAATAAAGCAAGGATTTTTAATTAAAGGGTCCTTTTTTATGAAAAAAAAAACAAATAAAATAAAATGCGAGGATATAAAATCTGATGATTGGTGGGTTCTCGCGAGAGAGTGTCTCCCCATCTTTCGATTATTTGTCAAGGAGTTTTTCTCTCAACTATTTCTCAACTTGCAGAAGCACCAAGAGAGTTGTTGTAAGTAATTTGCGTTTGGACAAACCGCAAGCCGCATTCTCCGGGCACACACTACTTACTGGACGTTTACGGACTCCCTTGATCCGGGCCAATAAAGTCCACGGCCATATCGCGGCTCTGTTGTGTGTTGTGTATTAAAGTATATCGTTTCAACGAATGCTTTTTTTTTTTTTAAAGCGAATAGAAAACTTTTCCATCGATTTCAAATATTATGCTATAAAAATTATTCTGCATACTATGCACAATACCATTATTTAACTAATTGTAAGTTTTAAATCGAACCTTTAGATTGTATAACATTTTCGTATTTCAAACACCAATTTGAATATTATTTCCATCTCGAGTCATTCGAGTTATGTGTAATTTAATAACGTTAATTGCTATTTATCCCTATTTTCCATCAAACCTCCTCCCCCTCCCCACACCCCTATTTTTCTTACTCTCTCTTTTCAATTCCATGAATTATGACAAACGATGGAAAATATATTATCGCGTTATATTTATTGTTTTATCCAAACATAAACGCAATTATCATTTTGTTCTACATCATTGGAAATTCTTCTTCCCTAAAATGATACAATCAAAATTGTTAATCTACGTATTTTATTTTATTTTATTTTGCTTTGGTTTTTATGGTCTCTTATTTTTTTAACCAACTGATTTTCTATTCTGTTACAGGAAAACATTTCGACCCCAGAGCCGGCTGATATATCCGAGGACGATCACTATTCAAGTGAGCAGAAATTATTTCTCGTTATTATAACGCGTATACACATTTTTATCTATGTATTTTTTCTAAAAATCTTTTTGTAATGCCACGCGTCAATTTAAATTTCAATCTCTCGATCGATAGCGAAACGTATATATCGCGAGGTATAATATTTTTTGATTTTTTTTTTTCTTCTTTTTTTTGAGGTAGAATATATTTACCATAGCAACTATTTCTCTTTATTTTCTATATACCATCCCTAGTGTTCGCGTAACATTGACTATTTCTATCTTCATCTATTTCTTTCTCTCACACTTTCCCTCCCTCCCACTTGCACCCCCTGTTTTCTCGGTTCAAATTGGGAATTGGGGATACCCGTTTTGGGAATTTGACCTCAATACTATGTGGCAGAGAATAGCGTTTCTGTACTATTGATTTAAACGTTATACAATTCCCCATAACCATATACGACATATTTCTAAAATCGTTCGATTAAATATATCTTTCATTCAAAAAATAAACTTTCTCATTCGAACTTACAAACGTATAAATTTATTTTAATATCGCTATAGTTCTGTGTTATTTTATTTTTCATATTTTATTTTACACATTGACGAGATACGAGACACACAAGTAACACACTCAACTGTCATATTTTTTTCGTAATATCATCATAATTACATCCCTTGAGAAAAAAAAATGATATTTTGATTCCCAAAGAATATATCTTACTACCCTTACAAAGAATTATTTCAAATCATTGATATACCCTTTTTCCATACATACTTATACATTAAGTTTAATACATAATTACACTAAAATATAAAACACACTCGGTTAAAGTATAAATATCAATAAACGTTACGTATTAGCGAATAGCAAGAGTACCATTGACGTATTAAGCTGTTATCCGGTAAAAAAAAAAAATAACCAACCCTCACTCCCACCCTACCTCGAAAAAAATGGTAAAAAAAGAAAAAAAAAAAAAAAAGGAGTAAAAAGAAAAAAAAAATCAATCCATGCGCTAGAATTCCCATTGATGAAAAGCTCAACGAAAGCCACTCTCCATTGCTTTTTTTTTCTTTTTTCTCCCTTCCCCTCTTTCTCTCTCTTTCTCTTCCGTTTTTCCCATACATACATACATACACATATACAATATATAGAGTAGATGGATGGGTTTTCAACCGGTAGGACGTTGTTAATCGCAACGTCGAATCCTACGGACACGGGTAATCAATAACGTAACGACGTTCGTGATCGATCGCAGTGATGACGTATCGAAAAGCCCTGCTGGTTGTTGGGTGGGATGTGGGCAAGGGCTTAGGGGGTGGTTGGGATAAATTATGACTTCGCGTTTTAGCGAAATTAATCGTTAAATAGGAATCATGATGAAATAATTCATTGACGAATCCTAAAATTCAGTTTCCCCATTTATCCGCATGATTTCTTCTTCAACTTAAACAAACCCAAAAACCCCCAAACCCCCCTCCATTATTATCTATTTGTATCATTCTCTTTTTAGATGAATATTAATTCCTCCCCCCTCCACCCTCCACCCCCCCTCCTCTTCACCAACACCATCACCACTACCATCCCTTTTCATCCTCTCCTCGTTTCAGTTGGTCGTCCTCTGTCACTTACGATTAACCTAATGCGCGGCATACTAATCTTTGCCATTAGACCTGTTGCATTGTTAAATACATCCAATGAAGTAGTAGTAGTAGTAGTAATAGTAGTAGTAATAGTAGTGGTAGTATCCCCAAAATTAATTCCTATCCTCTCGTTGTCACTACTGTGCGATCAATTTAGCAATAACTAACTAATTATTGTATTCCGTGTGGATTATTATACGAATACGGTTTTATGAGAGTAAGTTAGTACGTTGCAAGAGAGAGAGAGAGAGAGAAGGAAGGAAACAAGGAAGGGGGAATGTAGTAATCATAAATTCCTATCGTATCGTAATTTCTTTTTTATTTCGTTTCTTTTTTTTCTTTTACGCGAAAAAAGTGGTATACCCAATTAATTGTAAGTTATATTATTGATATGATATTATTGTTTAAAATATATCAATCAGTTGCATTACCGATCGAGAGAATAATACAACAAAATTGTTGTATAATTAAAAATAAAAAGAACACTTGTCGATGAATGTTTCAGAATATTTGTTTTTTTTTCGAAAAAGTATAATCTAATAAGAAATGTCTAACCGAAAAATAACAAAAAGAAAAACAATATATATGCAAAAGTTTAACGGGGGGAATGTAATAAAAAGAAATCAGATAATTGTTTTAATAGAATTGAAAAAAAAAAAAGAAAAATAAAAGAATAGGAATGGAATGGAATGGAAAAAAAAAAGAATTGGCAAAATGAAACGTTTGTAATTTCCGGCAGGCGCGCTCATGAAAGACGCGGATAAGCTGAAGCTGATGCTGCTTGCGTGGAATTATAATCTTCAACAGCAGGCACAAGCTCAGGCACAGGCACAGGCACAGGCACAGGCTGCTAACGCTGCCCTATCGCCTAATAACTCTTCGACAACCACGGCCACCACAGTTGGCACACCTGTCACCAGCCAATCGACCATTTCCACGGCAAACAACACCATTAACAACTCCACTCTTACAGGTAACAACCAACAACAACAACCTTATTACATCCTATCTTACTTTTCTTTAATATCTTTCTTTATTTCTTTCTTTGTCTAGTTTTTTTCTATTTTTTTATACATGCAACAGGAACTTACTACTACGATCGTATTAGTTCTGTCTTTATTTAGCATTCACTTTTTCCTTATTCTTCTTATTCTTTTTATTCTTATTGACCTTTCCTCTCTCTTCTCATTATCCTTGCGAGATGCAACCATTCTCTTCTAGATAGATAGATAGATAGATAGATAGATAGATAGATAGATAGATAGATAGGTATTTACTCTAGCTGTTTGTTTTTTCATCTTTTCTCTCTTTCAATTTTCTCTATCATTTTCTTTTTCTTTTTTTCTTTTTCTTTCCCCCATACAAATATTCTCTTTTTTTGTTTTTTCGGTTTTATAGTAAAAGTATTTCAATGTGATCGTTAGAATATGTCAACTATTTGATCATTAAGTATCATACCTCCCCCACCCACTAGATTGAATCAGATTTTAACACTTTATATGTGTGATCAAATAAAGATCTTTCTATTAATAGTATAATACTAGATTATATAATTGACTATTCTGAGTATTTCGATGGATATCGTTAATCATCAAACGATTGCACTCGTGTTAATGAGAATGCAACAATTTATATTATTGAAAAAATTATAAGAAAAACGTATAATATAATATTATTCTGCCGTTATGTTATTTCGGATTTGTCCTAAAAAGAAGAAAAACAAAAATCAACAATAACTCTTACGTAATATTTAAATTATATTATATTTTTTCCTTACGAATGTGCATGAAAAAAAATAATTTGACGTTAAGATAATTATTAATGTTTGAAAATATAAATGATAAAAATAATAATGTATAAATTTAATTGTAAACGTTATCGTGTAAAATTTACTATTACGTTTCGAGAATTTGATCATTCGAGTTTGCTATACTCGCATAAGCGAAGAACGGGTCTCGCGAGTAGTTAGCCGGGGCCAAGGTGTACCAGCTCTTTGCCTTGCTAAGTTTTGTCATCGAGCTTGGCGTAACTGATAGTTCGTCGTATTTTCCTGTCGAGACAGCAAAAGAAAGAAAGAAAGAAAGAGAGAGAGCAACACAAAAAAAAACCATCATTCTATTTTTAACAAGGTCCAAGATTTTCTACGAACGAAATGTTGCCCAACCTTTAATGATTAATCCAATCCACGTAAAAAGAATTTAAATAATAATCAAAACTATAGTTTTTGATTATTACAAACGAATAATAAAATAAACCAAACAAGATATCCAAGAATAATATTATCAAAGTTCAAAACTTCATGTTAAGGATAGGGTGAGTGGGGTGTGTGGGAAGGGGGAGAGCATGGGGTATTGGGAAGAAATTTCCAATGCAAATAATTCCCCTTTCTCTTCCCCCTGCTCTCCCCCTTTCTCACTCTCTCTCTGTTTCTTCTTCCTTTTTAACTTATCATTTTGATATCAATGTGTGTTTCGTTAAAAAGAAATGAAATGTCAGAAGGAAGGAATGTCGGACAAACCTTGATTCTTCCTATTCACGAGTAGTAGGCACCGTTCATCGGGTACATCATCATGGTACCGCGATTATTCGTCTACGGTGTTCAGTTAGGTGAGGTTGCGGAAGGATAATTCACAATCTTTTATATATCTTTCTCTTTCTCTACCTTTCCCCCGTTTTTCTTGTATACACACGCACTAGTGTGGTATCCCTTCTTTCCCTGTTGCCCCCCCCATCCTCCTCTGGGTCCCCTTTGTACGTCTCTTACGCCTCTTTCATGTATCTTCCCTGGCGGCTATTCGAAAACTGGTTTTCAAGCGGGCCTTCTATATATCTCAGCAGACGTGGTCATTGCGTAATGATCCGGGCAAGCAAGCAAGCAAGCAAGCAAGCAAGAAAGCAAGCAACTATCAGGGCCCCGTAAGATGCGGCAGATGGTTTTACCCCTACTCTAAAACCCCACCTCTCCCCAGTCCACCTGAGAACACCCCACCCCACCCCAGTACACAGTACACCTACCTACTTCTCATCTTTTTCCTCTTATTCCTTCCGTAACCTTCTTGCACTATCGTCTAGGCGACTATCTCTTCTTCTATTTTCAAGATGACCATTCGTTCGTTCGTTCGATTCGTCGTACGTCTTCTCGCGCAAGATTCTTTCCAACCACCACCACCACCACCATCATCATCATCAGCAGGCACCAGCATCACCAGTACCACCAGCATCACCAGCACCTTCTTTTTATTATTATTATTTTTCTGCTTCTGCTTCCCTCCCCTTCATTTTCTACGTCGTCTTCTCTTTATGGACCGGGGCACCTCCTCCTCCTCCTCCTCATCCTCCTCCTCCTCCTCCTCGTCCACCTTCTTCTCGCTTACCTTACCTTACTTTACCTTACCTTACCTTCCCTGCCCCTCCCTGCCCCTCTTCGTTCTCTTTATCCTTCCTCCTACTCCTTTCTCGTACGTAGGTAAGGTATGTTCGATGTTAGGTACTTTCACGCTACCGAAGCTATGACTACAACTAAGATGACAATCTTTTTCGTTCGTCCTTCTCGGCAAAACTCAAAATCGTCAACGTTTCTTTCTGCTATACGACAAACGATACGATCTATCAATGATTTTTCTTCGATGATTCTTCTTACTATGACTAATGCAAGAAATTCATAATAATTGATTTTGTTTATTTTTCTATTCTTTTATCTTTTTATTCATTTGTCATAGGATATGAGATAGTTTACATCTCAATTTGATACATCATATATATATTAATTATTTATATCTATTGATTCGTATTAATTTGTTCATAAATCACGAATGATTATTAACGAAAAATGTTATCTAATACACACTAGACCAAAAGATAGTATTTTGTTTGTTTTGTTTTTTTAAAATCGCGAATAGAACAACAACAAGAATTAATAAAGAATGGTAAGTAACTCGGATCAGCAAATTTTCTCATTATGATTCGAGAAAAGTCAGTATGGTGTAAAAAGCTTATCGCATTTCTTCCCTGCTTGGGAGAGATGGTGGTGGTTGGGGGAGGGGGGATTTAGTGGCGGCAGCTATTCAGAGTTCTCTTCAGTGAAGTGGTTGAAAGAAGATAAAGAAGAGAAGTAGTAGAAAAAGAAGAAGTGGTACCTACTACTACTACTACTAGTAATAGTAATAGTAGTAGTAGTAACCGAAGAGGGAAGGGTGAAGGAAGTACTCGTGTGGGTTTGCAACTCGTTGTTGGGTGGGGTTCAGTCTGTCGACTGATTTCAGGTTCAAGCTGGCAGCCCGAAGGCGGCCAAGAAACTGGTGAGTTCAGCAGGAACGGGGCTGCCAGTGGTATTGGGATTGGTAACCGGCTTTCTAGCCGGTCAGCCTAGCTAGCTGACTAGCTGACTAGCTAACTGACTAGCTAGCTAACTGGTCGACCTAGGCAGGATTCTCCTACGTACGTTGCAGTACCCTGTTCTTCCTTCCTTTCATTCTTCCTTTCTTACTTTCCTTTCCTTTCGTTTCCTTTTCCTTTTCTTTTGTTCATATATTTGTGCATCTTATTCTTCTTCCTACTCTGTTGGATTATGTTTCTTCAACGTGTTGTATATATCCGAGGGCAGAAACCCCAAGAGTCCATCTACCAGCCCTTTAGGTTAACCTTCTATTTCTTCTTCCTTCTTCCTTCTTCTACACATATATATCGGTTGTGTAGAAGATACTTTAAAGAATCTCCAGGGCCGTTTCAAATGAAAGAAAGAAACTATGGTGGTAGTAACGCATGTTATACACCTCCTGGAGCGGCTTCGGGTCCAGTTGCTGTTGGTGTTGATGTTGCTGCTGCTGCTGTTGCTGGTCAGTTTGCTTGCTTCGTAAGGAGGACCTTAGCTTACTGGTTCTACCGGAATCTTCTTAGAAAGATACGAGCTTAGCATCCGTATATTCTCATGTTGGTAGAATATCAAAAATCGTTTATCTTTGACGGGACTGCTTGTCAACTAGTACAGGTTTTCTAACGTTTTATATCTTTTCTATATTTTCTTTTATTTTTATTTTTCTATATAATATATAAAAGAATGATTAATAATTATTAGATACTTTTCTAAACTCTATTATTTATATTTGATCTTACAATTTTTAGAAGTTTTATCTCATTGGACTAACTTGTCGTCTTGTTAAACTTGTTAACCTTTTCGTTAATAATAAAACACATAAAATACGCTAACAAAAATTCTAATATCATTTTAAATGATTATATATCTATAAACGATTAATAATCAAAATATTTTCAATTAAAAAAATTAAACCTAATCAACCTATTTAAAGATAGATCAAAAAATCATGATATTGTAAACAAAAACTTATTATCATATCGAAAGTTAAGTTTTCTATTCGGACAGTCCTGGGAACACGAGTTTAAAGTCAAACGAGTAGGAATCAGGTAGCATGGTTTCCCCATGGGGGCACTCCCTCTACCAGCTAGAATCGAGTACGCGAATCCATGGAACACCTCTCTCGTCCGGCAACGATTCCGTACTTGTCCTCCAAGACGACCTCGTGAAAGCATCTTTAAACCGCGTACGTTCTCTCTTAGCTCGAATCGAACGGTGATAGAGGTCTCCCGTTCCTCCTCCCCGCAAACCTCTCTGTCCCCGTAACTCCTACTATCCCCCTTTCCCCAGCCCCCTTAACCCCCTAACCCTCCGCCTGCCACCTCATCCATCTTCCACCTCTTTTCAATCGTCGCTTTTATTCCACGTAGAAAAGATATCCTCTTGAGCTCATTATGGCTTTTGGGAACAGGTCAGCTTGTTTTCGAGATCGTTTTTTACCTGTCCAGTTCGTTAAACGTTCATAGTTATTCGTATTTTGTACCAATTAGACGTAAATTTTGTTTATTCTATTTATTTGTTATAATTTTCTAATCGTAGGTATAAGGTAATAAGAATTGGCGTAATAAATGATCTAGGAGTAATTGGGTAAAGGGTTAACGTTTAAATATATGTTTAATTATATTAACAATGTTAATTAATTGATTTTGTTTCATAGAAATGTTGTTCATTGATTGATCCTAATAGAGTAATATAATCCTATAGGTATATATATATGTATTGCAAAACAAAATAAGAAGAGTATCTTGATATAATTTCGAAAGTCCAAAAAAACAGGACTAATGAATTATTAATAAACGTTAAAGAAGTATAAAAAAAAAAAAATAGAAAGGAATGAAAGAAAATTTATTTAGAGTTTATTTATTCGAACAGAACAGCCTTAGAAAGTTAGTTTTAGCATTGGTGAAACGTTCCAACCAATCTTCTTCTTCCTTCGATTCTTGCGAAAGGAGGACGACGACTACGACAACTACGATAAAATGGTGTTCCTTAATAAAACGTGACACACGGTATAACGAAATAAAGAAATGTTGTCGTTGATTATTTACAGACGTACGGAATGGTTCGACAGAGTTGGTGGATATGCCAACAGGTACGGTGCCAAGTTTGGGCACCGTGGCTGGTGTTGGCAGCGAAGACATGGCCTCGCTATGGGCATCATATGCTATGGGATTGAAGAAGACACCACCACCAGCTTCCTCGGCTACGCCTTCGCGTTCCGATCGCGATCGAGAATCCAGTCCGGCTGGTGAAGGTACGGGGAGTGCCCATGATGAAACTAGTAGCAGTGGGAACAAGGAGGACGAGGATGACGACGACGAGGACGTTGATGAGAGGTTGGATCCAAGACATCACGATCCTGAACGTCTCAAAGCGTTCAATGTAAGTCCTTTTATCGATTGTAAATATTTCTTTTCGATTCTCATCAATTGGGATCACGATTTGTTTTCGGATTTTAATCTTTTCTAATCATGAATTGATGAAATAAAATGGTACAAGTCAAGAAAGTATAATAATATTATATTAGAATTATTTTCAATTTGATTTTATAATAAAACTCGAGACTCGGATCTCAAATTTTCTTGACAAATCTTCTCTTTGGAAAAGTATAATTTTTCGCATCACTGTTGTGATGTCATCAGCATTTGCCAAATTGTTTTGAATACGACATCAATCTCTGATGTTATCGATATTTGATTGATAGTTTTTAGCATGACACCAACCTTGTGGTGCTACCGGACGTCATAGAGATTATTATAAAAGAAAATGTTTAGCCTAAGCTTTGACGATGACGAGGATGAGAATGACGACGGTAGTCATTGGTTCGAGTTAGTCCTGGTTACGTCGAGTAGCCAGAGAGAGGCAACTTCTTAATTAATTACAATTAGTTTAATAGATGCCCTCCCTTTGGGTCACCCCACCACTGAAATAAAAAAACACTACCACTATCGTCATATATATATATATATATAGTATGTTTTACCATTACACCATCATCATCACCATCACCACCATCGCCATTACAGAGCATTGTCGTTAAATTCTTAATTCTTCGAGCATTCGTTGGCGTTCACGAAAAGCGAACGTTTCGTTTCGTTTAGTTTAGTTTAGTTTAGTTCATTTCATTCATTTCCTAACCTCCAATTTGGTTGATTCATTCATTCATTCATTCATTTATTTCCTAACCTCAAATTTATTTTGGTTAATGTTTTGCGGCAGATGTTCGTGAGATTATTCGTCGATGAGAATCTAGATCGTATGGTGCCCATATCTAAACAGCCTAAAGAAAAGATACAAGCAATTATCGACAGTTGCACCAGACAATTTCCAGAATTTGCCGAAAGGGCGAGGAAAAGGATCAGGACGTATTTGAAAAGTTGTAGGAGAAATAAACGTGGCAGGGAAGGTGCACCCTGGGATGCGGTAAGCCTAATATTATCTTTTATCAATAACAACAACAACAACAACAAAGAATTAAAAAACAATATTATAATTAATATTATGTTTTTCAATAACGTGTCTTGTTATATTCATTTGAAATCATTTTTTCCCCCGATCAAAATTGTTGATTATTATTATTTTACAGGCTAGACCAACACCAGCACATTTGACCTCGGTACAGGCTGAACAAATTTTAGCAACGGCCTGCGAAAACGAAAGCGACAACGCTAAACGTATGAGGGTCGGTCTTGAACCAGTATCACAACCTATGCCAACACTTCCGGCTGCAACGGTAAGTTAATTCGATTATTTTTTTTCAACGAATGATTTATATATATATACATATATATATATATATATATATATATATATATATGTGATGGTTATATATTATAGATACATTCGATTGATTTTTTTTCAATTTTTAACACGTAACAACAAGACGCATTGTTGCTGTTGTTAAAGCAACGTTTTATAAATTATTATAAATATGGTATAAATAATCGAATGACCCCATACATTATTTCTCCCCCATAAGATCGATGATGTCTATTCTTGTTTTGAATGAATAATGAAAATGAAAAATTAAATACAAATAGTATATTTATAAATTCACGTTATGTGTTAATCATATAACTGAATTTCATAGGTAGCATTCTTATAACACGATAAGAAAAATTCTGACAAATCTTTATAGAAACATCACTCTTGTATAACATGATTTTTACTGTTAACATATTTTAAAAAATTAAATTATTTTAAAATAATAAACTCCAGGTAGGTCTCGCATACAAAACAACATTTATTAGAAAACCTATCTACCCTTGTTATAGAAAAGACTTTACCTATATTTAATAAAGATCAATTATTTAACAAATAAATTTATAACAATCCAATAGAATATATATATATTAATATTTCTATAATCAACAATAATTACAAAGAAAATAAATTTACAAATATATATCAACAAATATCGTAATACTTTCGTTTTAAATGTTAAGTATAGATACCAGGTGATAAAATCTAACTAATGAAAACAAAAAAAAAAGAAAAAACAAGTAAGAAAGAATGAAAGATTGGTACATTTTCTTGAAACTAATATACAAGTCGTATGATATCGGTAGGGGGAACGATTGACGATATATGGAAAACAGAATGATGATGAAAGAGAGGTTGGGATGGGACGGGGTGTAAGGGGGGTAGGGAGGCAAAGGAGCTCCTGCGCAATGTTTCAAACCGATATATATATATATATATATATATATATAAAATAAATATATATGTACGTATGTACGTGAAACGAAGCTAGCTAGGATTGATATAGGTACAGCGAGGGCACTGATAACCCGGAGGTCGCGCACCTCTCCCACTCTGTTGCAATAATACGTACAACACACGCACAAACAACAGACAGACAGACAGACAGACACGATCAGAGACTTTGACACATGCCACCGCGTCGATATAATTATTATTATTATTTATTTATTTATTATTATTTAATAATAATAATTCAATTAATTATTTCTATAGTCCAAAAATAAAATTATTAATATTGTGTTGTGTGTTTTTATAATTTTCACGTTGTCTTATGTTAATCATTGTTACTTTATCGTTAAAATAACATATGAAATAGAACAAAAAATTAGACAAACATAGGAGAGAAGAAAAAAGTATATTACATTGAAATTATCTTTAGTGTTTAATGGGAAAACCTTTCGAAACGTTTATTGTGACACGTTTTATTATCATTGTTTAGAATATGATTATTTTATTTTACACTCTGATATTATGTTTAAATCAAATTAGGTTTAGGCTCGCGGACAGGGGGTGTTCATTTTTATTCACAATTTTCGTACAATCTTTTGTATTTTATTTTATATATATATGTGTGTGTGCGTGTATGGGATTATATTTTATTTCGATGTATCACGATTGGATCGAATAATATTTGCCAAAGAAAATATAATCGGATAGAATACTTCCGTTATATTATTATTATTATTATTATTTGTCTCTATTCTCGTTGTTCGAATATGTTTGGAATATTTTTTGTTCTTCCTTCTCCCACCTCTCTCTCTCTCTCTCTCTCTCTTTTTATTCTTTCTTACAACAATCGAACTTCTTTGTTTTTTTTTTGTTCATTTTACCTTTCATTCTTTCAAACGTTACACACCCATAAGAAGTGTTATGCATTTCATTACACTACACCATAGGTAAACTTCTTCTTCTTTTTCCTACCCATTCTGGTGGTACATATGAACATGACCAAAAAAAAAACAGAATAAAAAGAAATAAAGAAAGAATAAGAGAAGGGGACAAAAAAGCACAAGCAAAAGCAAAGAAAAAAAACAACAAGAAGAAACATATAGAAAGTAAGAGGATGATATTCCTTCTACTCTTGGAAATAGTTGCAGAGAAGAATCTTCTTCTTCTTCTTCTTCCTCTTCATCTTCTGTTTCTTCCTTCTTCTTCTTCATCTTCAGAAAAAGAAGAAGTTGGAAGCTTTCTATACATCGTGGCGCGAAGCAACTCGCCGACTTGGACTTATCTACTTTGAAAATCCCTGCCGAGTGTAGCGATAACCTCTCTGCCGACCTGAACCATTAAGGAGAAGACCTCTATATATATATACATACACATATATACATATATATACATACATATACATATATATAATATGAAGCCAAGAGAAGTCCGTGCACGGACACGGCTATCTCCCGTGGCCACCTATATAATTGACGTCAACGCACACTGCGTGCCTTTCATAAAAACACCTCCCTACATCCTCCCCCCTTCTCCTCCCTAACCCCCTTTCCTCTTCCCCTCCCCTCATTACCCCTTTCCCACCCTCTTCAACCTCATCTTTTTCTTCCTCTTGGAAATTTCATTCCTACTACTACTACTACTACTACTACTACCTACCACTACTACTTCTTATCTTCCCCTTTACCCCCCCCCCTCAAACCCCTTCACCTTTTTCTTCTTCTACTTATTTTTCTCTTATTTTCTTATTTCTGTTTCGATCTTCTCATCATCGTTCTCGAACTCCTCAACCGATGTTCTTCTTCTTCTTATTCTTCTTCTTCGTCAGTTCAGTCATCCGTTTCCGTGGTAGGAAACGTTAAACCACGTCGGCACCCAACACTCTACTACTACTACTTTTCTTTTTTTTTGTCGTCTTCTTTTTATTCTTCTTTAGGTCCAGCTCCTTTACCTCTCCCCCGTCAGTTCGTTCTTTCATCTCTCTCTCTCTTTCTTCCTCTTATTTACCTCACCCCCTTGTTCTTACAAATGTATATATACCACTCCCGTTATTTTATCCCACGGCTCCTTTTATTTCTCTTTTCTTTTCGTTTCGTTTCGTTTTTTTTTTCGTCTAAGTTCTTCCTGTCCTCTTGGAATTACACCATCGATGTTCTACTTCACGATATCCCCCACCCCCATACAATTCTATTTCATTTCTCCCCTGTTCGTTCTTTTCCCTTTCGTTCGAACGAAAAAGGTTTGGTGAAACGGATCCACGTTAATTATTAACCTTTTAGTTAAAAAAAATGCTATGATTATTTTGATTTCGTTCTCGTTTTCCTTCCATATTAAATATATGTATGTATATGTATATATGTGTATATGTAATAAAAGATAGTAAAAGGAATATAAAGTGAGAAACGATGTGATTATTCTCATTCTCGATCACATTGTCGTTATCAATTGCGTGCGCGTGCTCTTGACGGTGTATACGAATCGAAAGGGGGGTTAAAGGGGAGGAATGTGAGGGAAGAAAAAGAAGAAGAAGAAGAAGAAGAAGAAGAGAGGTAGAAGTGGAAAAGAGGAAGGAATGAATTGTGGTGGGCACGTTTAGTAGACGCGTTAAGACCATCGGTGCGATATTAACTCGGCTCGTTTAAGTTGGTTATATCGATGTTGTTGTTGTTGTCAAATGATCGATAGTATTCTGATTAATATTCAACCGATTTGTGATGATTCGATAAAGTTGTTAACACTTTTACTTCGAAACGATACATATATATATATATATATATATATA